TTACGTTGAATTTGTTCGGTCGAGAAGTGTGAGTGTGGCTCTCATAATCCAGAATCTCTCTATCTCTTCTCTTTAACGGGACCCGGAATGCGACCCGCTATCAAATTCCACCTATTCAATTGCAAATTCAAATTAACATTCATGTATTTTCAATATTTTCACTTAAAAGGAAAAGTATGCAACTTATAAATATTAAATCAGATAATGTTCAAACGAATTGTTTGACATTAATATGGCCCATGACTATTACCCATTTAAATTCTTTATTATGAAACACGATAAAATTAATAAAAAAAAGTGCAAAGATTATGCATTTTAAAAGGCTCGTGTTCAACCGGAAAATGTGTGGATGAAGAACCTACAAGAGGATAACATCTGTCTAAATATTAATAAATTTTCGAAAAAAAATTGGTTTTGATAAATCTAACTAATTTGCCAATATTTAAAATTTATGAGTTCACTAGGTTTTTTTTTTTTTTGCAATATTTTCAATAAGATAAAAAAGGTACAAATAATGAATGGAAGATAACAAACTAAAGAAATTAGTCAAAGAAAACACCATAGGACATAACAAATAACAAAAACTACAAAGAATACGAATTCTTTAAAAGTCAAAAGAATAAGCAAATAAAGAACAAATAATACCTAATTTCAAGAGGCAAAGCTCGGAAGCCAAACGAAAATTTAAGTACTTATATCATTGTAGATATCTATTTTTAAAAGTGATTTTGAAATAATAAAACAATATTAACAAATACGACTTGTTTCTAAGGTAATTTTCAACTAAAGGATTAAGAACAAACAGGAATTAAGGCAAAAAAAAAGGCAACACAATATGGTCGATCTCGTGCCTTATTAAGAAAACACGAATCATGATCATAAATGTAAAATAACTTAATTATCTAATATTTATTTATTCACGATATTTGTTATTCTACTTACAATATATAAAAAAATCTCTTTTCTCTGTTTTTCCTTACCACGCAATTTAAAAATTGTCTCACTTTTATGTTAATTTTACTTTCTTTCCACTTTCATTATTAACATCTTGATGGGTAGAGATAAAGAAAAATACAGCGACGAACTGATAAAATAAAAATTAAACTTCTCTGATTAAGGAAATAAAGAAAATGAAGATAAAAAATATTCACCATGAGAAGAGTTATAATCTGTTTTGTAATTAACTATTGTGTGTAGCAATGATGCCTTTAGCCAAATAACTCATCACTACCAATAGTCAATGTCTGCCATGAATGGCCAAACTTAATGAATGAACATTCTATTTTTATAACCATTCGTTCCTCTGACCTTTTTAAGTCAACTTATATAATCATCTACGGTTAAAATTCTATCTAGGTGCATGCTACAGATCGAATCCTGGTTAAACTACAAAGTTCTGGAAACTTCATGCACAGAATTAACGCAGAAACCCAAATCCTCGTTAAAGTGCAATGGAGTTTTCTGATTGTTTAAGAAAGAAAAATGCACTACAACATAAAACATGGAAGCTTACTTGTCTCCGACCAGCTTGTACATCCTATGAATCAGATCCTCTTCTTGCTCGCTCATGTGTATCACTTCCCACTCGTTGCTGCTCACTTCTGCATCGTATTAACCTTTATCAGAATTTCCGAACGAAACGCAAACACCTAACTATTTTACAAAGCATAATTTTCATGAAGAGAAGACCTTCTGATTTGTGTTTGCGGGTTGACATCTTCGCCTTCTCATCACCTTGTTACGCTGCTGACACTAACACTAAACACGAGAGAGGAAGAGGAACGCAGAGACTAATGCTCAGAGGAAAATGAAATATTTTGTTCGTAAACTGGCGAAGATGAGAGACCTTATAGTACCATACATGGTACGCTGCTTTCTATATAATGAATTATAAAAATATTTTAATAATATATGACTTAAACTAATGAGGCAATGGAGTTGGGAGATAAAAGGTGATGTTATAAAATGTATTAGTATTGGTACAAATACAAATGAGTAATATTTTATTGTATTCATTAATTAGCTCTGTCTCTGGTTGTGGGTCAGTCAAACTAATGTTAATTTATAAAACCTTCTAGAGGATATACACAGAGTGTATTTTTATATTACAGTTAGATAGAACGTATTGTTTAAAATTTCACGATTTCCTGCAACAGTAGACAGTCCATTTTTTCAGATTTTCAACGAAGGTGTCAGATCCACGTAAAGTAAAAATATACAGATACCTCACAACACAGTGCACGTGTGAACATAAAGCAGAACAAATTTTGGGTGACTTTATCTTTTTTTTTCTTCCGATTGAAAATATTAATTTAGTTATTTTATGTGTGAAACCATATCTAACATTTGGCATGGTCGTACCAGACTACAGGCGTTATGATTGATTTACCTCGATAAAGGGAAAAAAGACCGCAAAGAATTTCACTGACAACGAACGAACTTTCCATGGTTCGTGTCCAATGTTTGTAGGAGGAGATTGGATAATTTGTTGATGTTTTTTGTTTTGTAATTTTGATGGCAGAGGTTGAAAAGGTCGAACAGAGTGAGGTAAAAAAATGACCGCTTGGTGGATACATCACATGCTGGGAACGGCTGGTACAAAACTATCCCTCTCCCTTTATAAAATGGTGAGTTTGACTAGTAGATATCTGTATTTGTGATCAATAAATTGGAGGATAGCATTATTGATGCATGAATAATCGAAATTTTTTATTTTCATAAATAAATTATTTTTTAAATATGGACAACTCTCGTCAACAACAATAAAACGATGATGATAGGGTGTTTTGTTATATTTCAATCAGAAATAATATATATATATATAGATAGATAAATGTAAATTTAATTTTTAAACTAATTCTATTATTAGATTGTACAAGATTTAAAGTCTTTTTTAATAAATATTATATTTATTTTGTCTTTTCTTTAATTTCAGTGGTTTTTTTTTCTCTCGCTACATGTTTATTAATGTCTTGACTATAAAGGTTAAATAATGTTGGCTTTTACTTTTTGTTTATAGTTATTGAAAGTCTCACGTCAATTATTGATAAAGTCAATTTATAATATATAAATAGGTGCAAACCTTATTTTACAAGTCGTTTATTGAATATGTTGTTCTATCCTATTATATTGTTATCTATATTTGTTGTTTATTGAATATGTTAACTATATTTGTTGTTTATTGAATATGTTGTTATATCCTATTACATTGTTATCGGACAATCTATTAATACTTAAGTTCATTTTTAAAGGATAGTGCTTGCAAAAATTTTCATTATAATACTTACATATAAACGAATTATAAAAGTTATATTTGAATGAATGGTATATTAGGATAGTGGTCATTTTAAAGAAATTCAAACCCTTTTATTTACCATGAACCTTGAATGCAATTTTTTTGTAAGAATAAATATATTTTAACAGAATTTTTTTATAATATTTTAACACAACGCATGCAATATTTTTTTCATTAATTATTTATTTATTTATTTATTATTATGTTTACTCATTCTAAACTCAATGAAAAATGTCATATATTTTATATTAAAATATTGTTAAAAAATCTCTATTAAAATATCATTATCCTTTTTTATAATATTATTTTCAGATACAGTGAACTACATAAACTTATTTGTTGATAAGTATTTTGAAACTATGTAAATTACAAATTAAAAATTACAAAAGAAGAACATCTATATTTTGAAGAAGGTTTTTTTATTCACTTTGCAAGCATTTCATTAAAGTCGTTCTTTGTCAAGAATATTGAAATTATGTATTTTGTACCGATATCCTAAAAATTATATAAAAAAATAAATCACTCTAAATAAACAATTAATTATGTACCTCATGAATTACAAATTGCTTACAAAATAAGTCAGCTTCATTTATCTTGCGCATATGTATTTTGTTGACATAATTTTTAGCGACATATGTAAAAATATACTCTTTTAGTATTGTCTGCAGAAGCAACATTTTAAATGTAAAACGACTAGAAAGTAAATTAGAAAAAGAAAACAATTATATATACAAATTATAAACAATGAGAAGAACAAGTTATTTTGAAACCAAGTTGTTTCATCTATTTTACATGTAGTCTTTTAGAATTGGTTAATGTGTAATTTTTTCAATGTAGAAATGTAATTTAATATATCCATTTTCATGAAATTCATAAAAAAAATATAAAAATTGTACCTATAGAAATTACAAGCTAAGTAAGTGGTTACCAAAAAGGCATATAAATTAATTAAATATAAAAGTATACGATGCTCCTTGAACTCACATACTATAGCAATTGGATGTTGTATTTTACATTCCATTAGATTCAAACACCACTTTGTAGCTCAGTTCTTAGCTCTTGCAATATTATAGAATAATTAAAAAAAAGTCAAATTATTTAAAAAAAACACTGTAATAGAAGAAGGTATAATTAATTGAAGAATGTATATTTGAAAGTTCAAATTTTGTTAAAGAAATTGATTTGAAATCTGGAGAATCGAAGAAGTATATTATTATAAAAAAGTGAGTCATTGTCGGTGACGTGGTATAGAAAGAGATGCATCCAATTAGGCTGAATGGTTGATTAACTGATTCTAGAAACTTGATTTAATATGGAATCTGATAAAAATAATGTTATGTTGTTGGTCCTTTCTTGTGTTCATAGATTCTAGAAACGCATGCTTAGACTAGACTTATCAGACCAAGCTTTTCTTTACTCAATATATCACATCATTGAGGTCACTTCACCATAAATAAATAAATAATTTATACCAATCTTAAATTCTAATATTTATCATAACTTATGTGCACAGAACAATTCTAACTGTGCAAGATATACCATAGCAACAGTAAAATCTCACTCCTTTCTTGAAACGGATAATGAAATTTTACGAATATTTTAATAATATTACGTGATTGATTCAAAATTACTTCATAACCAATAATAATAATCATAAACGTTAATATAGACTAATCATAAAATAACACATAAATAATATTAAAATATTATAAAAAGTATCGTTATCTTTTTAAAATTCATCAATCAAATACAAATAAATACATATTTAATATATTTCTTTAACAAACACATTATTTTCTATTGTTGTAAATAAAACTAGAAAAAAAATAACAATAATTAATTCTGTTATGCCCATAAACATTATACTTAACCTAATAAGTTATATTTAGTATGTCTTTAAAACAATGTAAAATGTATATAACATTAGGTATAATGATTTATGTTACAGAAAAAAAAAGACAATGATATGTTAATATAAATCTTTTTATAGTATTAGTTTTTTCATAGTTAAGTTAGTACAATAATAAATTAATAAAACAATAATAGTGCATTGTATCAAAACATTGTCAAAATATATTTTTCTAAAAAATATCGCTTTTAAATATAAAAAGTTTCAATCATATAAAATCAGCTTTTTTACACTTTTTCTCATTTTAATTTTCCAAACTAGTATCTTTTTTTCTATTTTCCCTTCTTTCATTTCTCTCACCCACTTTCAACTACAACTAACAAATGAAAATAAAAATTGTCATCATCACCACAGTTCAGAGTATGCATAATATAGATTTTAAATCGTTGAATTTCTGGCCAACTATGATTTTAGGACTCAAGTTTGCTGAACTAATTGTCCTCCTCCACTTTTCAAATGTTCTAATTTAAGCTATTTTAATGGAATAATTATGAAATACTACCAGAAAGAGCCATTCTAAAATAAGTAAGAAAATAATGAGATTACAAAAACATTACTGAATAACATAACTACATTGATATCCAGAGAAAACACTTTTTCNAATGGTGAGTTTGACTAGTAGATATCTGTATTTGTGATCAATAAATTGGAGGATAGCATTATTGATGCATGAATAATCGAAATTTTTTATTTTCATAAATAAATTATTTTTTAAATATGGACAACTCTCGTCAACAACAATAAAACGATGATGATAGGGTGTTTTGTTATATTTCAATCAGAAATAATATATATATATATAGATAGATAAATGTAAATTTAATTTTTAAACTGATTCTATTATTAGATTGTACAAGATTTAAAGTCTTTTTTAATAAATATTATATTTATTTTGTCTTTTCTTTAATTTCAGTGGTTTTTTTTTCTCTCGCTACATGTTTATTAATGTCTTGACTATAAAGGTTAAATAATGTTGGCTTTTACTTTTTGTTTATAGTTATTGAAAGTCTCACGTCAATTATTGATAAAGTCAATTTATAATATATAAATAGGTGCAAACCTTATTTTACAAGTCGTTTATTGAATATGTTGTTCTATCCTATTATATTGTTATCTATATTTGTTGTTTATTGAATATGTTAACTATATTTGTTGTTTATTGAATATGTTGTTCTATCCTATTACATTGTTATCGGACAATCTATTAATACTTAAGTTCATTTTTAAAGGATAGTGCTTGCAAAAATTTTCATTATAATACTTACATATAAACGAATTATAAAAGTTATATTTGAATGAATGGTATATTAGGATAGTGGTCATTTTAAAGAAATTCAAACCCTTTTATTTACCATGAACCTTGAATGCAATTTTTTTGTAAGAATAAATATATTTTAACAGAATTTTTTTATAATATTTTAACACAACGCATGCAATATTTTTTTCATTAATTATTTATTTATTTATTTATTATTATGTTTACTCATTCTAAACTCAATGAAAAATGTCATATATTTTATATTAAAATATTGTTAAAAAATCTCTATTAAAATATCATTATCCTTTTTTATAATATTATTTTCAGATACAGTGAACTACATA